AAAACCAGCCATTTTCCCCAAAATCTTCCTTTATCGGGGCTGAGAAAGGAGTTAGTCCACAGCAAACCCCCCCCGGCGAGCGCCACAAACAAAGCCCAGACCCGCTTGTACTTTCCACCAAAAGTTTTTTTTTCTTTTTTTTTTATATCAACTGATGTTAAAAAATACAGACTTGTTTTACAAGAATAGCACCATTCATTATTATTTTTTTTTTTTCCTTTTGCCGTATTATACATTAGCACTCCTGCTGGTGATACACAGGGGGAGGGCCGGGGGCCGGGAGGGGATTCGTGATACCCGGATTTGCGAGATCCCTCGCGCAGGGAAGGGCCGTCGTACCTGCCAGTTAAGATTCCCACCTCCACCTGACCTAAAAAATAGGTCTTACAGGAAGAGAATAAATAAATAAGACCGTGGGGGTTGTTTTATGTCGCAGCCTGCCCGGCCGGCGTTGGAAAGAGGCAGTGGTCCCCGACGGAAGGGCGTGCAGCGAGGGGGTCGTGGCAGGCCGGTCAGCAGACAATCAAAAAGTACGAGCCATTGGGAAGCCCTCGGGGTGAGGGGGTGGGTTTGGGGGTGGATTTTGAGTGTTCTTTTCTGGGTTTGGGCTGGATTTTTAAAAAACAAACCAAAACAACCAAACAAACCGAAACAAAAAAACCCCAACAAACAACAACAAACAAACAAACACACAAATAAAACAATTCTTTTTACAAGAAGCAGACCGGGCCAACATCCACGCCAAACTCCTGATCGGCTCCACCAATGTCCATAGGTGCAATATCTACAATGGGCAGGCGGGAGGTCTTCTGCGACCGGTACTCGATGACTGTCTTGCCCCACTTGCCGGTGTGTTTCTGGGGAGAAAACGAGGAGGAAGGCGGCTGTTAGATGCCCCTGAGCCCTCCAAACCAACGGCAGCCCCGTGGCTTTGAACCCCAACTCGTCGTCTACGTCTTTCTCTCGCGGGTGCCCCCGGACTTACCGTGCAACCGTCCTCCAAGACGCTGTAGGTGAACCTGCTGTTGCCCTCGGCTCTGATCTCCACGTCGTTGGAGCCCTGGATGAGGATGGCTTTCTTCAGGTTGCCCGTCTCCTCGTCCATGTAGGCGATGCTGTTCTTGCAGTGGTACGTGACGTTCTGGGAGCCTTCGGTGGAGAGGAGGCGGAGGAAGGTCATCTGGATGTTGGCGGTGTTGGGAGCCAGGTCCTCATCGCCGTAGCTAAACTGGAGGGAGGAGGCGAGACGTTAAAGCCTGCGGGTGTCACAACCACCCTGCTTTCGGCCACCTTTC